TCTCAAGTGCGTGGCGTGGAATGCGCGGTTGCTGGTGATTGGGTTTGCGGCCGGAAAGATCGAGAAGGTCGCGCTGAACCGGGTTCTGCTGAAGAACGTCAGTCTCGTCGGCTTGCACTGGGGCCAGTACGCCAAATTTGAAAAGGAGACGGTAGGCATCGTCTGGAAGGGAATCTTTGATCTAGTGGCCCAGGGCAAGTTCAGAGGGACAGCCTTCACAGACGAAAGTTTTGTGGGATTGGAGAGTGTACCCAGAGCCTTGCAGGCTCTCGGAAGCAGAGAAACCTGGGGTAAAGTGGTGGTGAAGGTCATTGATGATGAAGCGAAGAGCAAGCTGTGACCTGTACCGCTGTTTAACTTTATATTCTTTTCTTTACTTGCAACAAGCCGAAATAAAACTGAACATATACGACATGTCTGCCCTTATGTATATCGCTCTATCAAGACTAATACGTCTATTCTCGGTAAATTGTGGATGTAGGTGCGCAAGGAGTCATGCTCTCGTAGAATGTAGAAAACGCGAGCAAACATGAACTATGAAGGCCCTGTTACTTCCTCTGGCAACTTTCAGATCATGAGAACTCGAAACGAGCTCTTACAAACCAGCTCCAGTCGGTCACAGTCACAAGACGTGACGTGTGGTGACTGTCCTTCGACAAGAAGGGTCCGTGAGAGCACGTCAAACGCCCTATCCTGGTCCTCGCGGATGGATAGAGAAGGGAGACTCGGACAGCTGGATTGTGGAGTTGCGCCGGTATGAGACAGTGTAGACTTAGGGGGTCGCACGATTCGCCAAAAAATCAAATACTATAGATCACTGATGTTCTGTGACTGCTGCTGCCGTGGTAAAATGCAGGTTAGTTATCCTTCCTCCGCCAGGTTCGCAACGAGAGGGTATTTGGAATCATTTGAATTGTATCCAGGAAGCTCATGGAATCAAACTGGTGAATTCATTCTCAGTGATTGAATCTACCAAATTGAGCAAGATAATCTCCAGCAGCATGAGCTGAACAGCTTCTCATTCTAACAAAGTTCGAAATTGACCCAGTCCGCAGTTTGCTCTGCGAGAGAGGGAAAATCTTGCAAGACACTCTCGCTTAGCGTCAGCTTAGTCAGATGCTTTGATCCGCTATCTTATCAACACGTGCCCATAATGATCAGAGATGGAAGCATCAGCATGATGTACTAGGAGTAACAACTAATAACAAGGAGCTGTAGTAGCCAAATAGAGAGGATGTTGGTGAAGTTCGTCTCATTGTATCTGAATCGTCCTCATAAATACTGGAACGGGAAGGGAATTTTCAGTCAACTGTTGGAAAGGGGCTTTCAAGGCACACCTGACTTGATACTGATCCTTTACGTCACTGCATGGTAACAACACGTCTTATGGGTCAATGCTTACAATAGATCTTGTCAAATAGTTTGCAATTGGGGAAGTCCGAGTCGGGATATATAGTGGGCCATTTAGATACTGAAGGTATACCTTATGTTTTGAACAATAGGTAGGATAGGGTGATTCTTGTCGAGACCCAAATGCATCCACCCATACGTCATGCCACTATTATCCCAGTTTGAGCCCCCACAGAGCTATCGCAAACATTATAAACAGTGCTTGATTTAGCGACGACAAGTGTCTGCTAGTATTTCCGCTGTAAGATTAATACGGCACCTAATTACTCACGTCGATCCTTCCTTGTAATGATCAGCCTCCGTCTGAACGCTCCTATTCTGTCTAAGCAAAGTGCGCGTATACGAACAATTGCTCGCAAAATGTCGACGTCCACAAAGCCTTCCAAGTTCAGTCATCTGCCTCGTGCAGCTTCGGGACCTCTGGAATGTCCATATGAGGTGAGGAAGAGCCAAATCTCCATTATCCTGCGTGATCCATGGATGGCATACTGATGTAGCCCGTCCAGGGCATGAGTGTCATACATAATCCCACATTTAATAAGGGCTCTGCCTTCACTGAAGAGGAGCGGAGGATTTTCAAGCTGCACGGCTTAGTGCCCCCGAATACGCAGACGCTTGAGGAACAAGTCCACCGTGCATATGAACAGTATAGTAGCCGAGGGGATGACCTAGCAAAGAACACTTTTATGGCCAGCATGAAAATGCAAAATGAAGTCTTGTATTTCAAAGTAAGTACCCTTATTCATGATTAGAGGGGAGAGCAGAGATTCGAGAAACATTCTTTCCTATGTCTACAGTTGATGATTGGGCTCGAAATCTCCTCAGCGACTAATTCTCTGTCAGTTGCTACAAACTCATCTGAAAGAGATGTTCAGCGTCATCTACACTCCAACCGAAGGTGGCGCCATTCAAAACTACTCACGTTTGTTCAGGAGACCAGAAGGCTGCTTCCTAAATATCAATGACCAGGACGCGATTGAAGAGTGCTTGTCCAATTTCGGTCGCGGTGAGGATGTTGATTACATCGTCGTCAGCGATGGCGAAGAGGTACCTATGATCTTTTTCATTCTCACAGCTACTTCATGCACGAGTCTGACAGGGTCAACTACAGATTCTCGGAATTGGCGACCAAGGGGTTGGTGCTATCCTGATATCCGTCGCCAAGTTGGTAATCACAACTATTTGCGCGGGAATTCATCCAAGTCGGCAGCTTCCAGTAGTACTGGACTGTGGTACAGATGTAGGGCTCCGAAACATCAACATGAGCGTCGCCTGCTAACACCGCTTGCAGAATCAGAAATTGCTTGACGATGAGCTTTACCTCGGCCTTCGACAACCGCGAGCTAGAGGAAAGGATTATGATCAATTTGTGAATAAATTCGTCAACACTGCTAGAAAGCTCTTTCCCAAAGCATACATTCATTTGTGAGTAGAATTGAGTCTCGTCTCCACGAGCAATTTGAAACGGCAAGCTAAGCGACTAACATCCCTTCGCAGTGAAGACTTTGGCCTGCATAATGCCAAAAGGCTTCTCGATGAATTTCGGCCACACATGGCCTGCTTCAATGATGATATTCAGGGAACCGGGTGTGTGACTTTGGCAGCATTAATGGCAGCTTTGCACGTCAGTGATGTCAAATTGCAGGACGTGCGCATCGTTATCTTCGGCTCCGGTTCCGCTGGGACAGGTATTGCACAGCAAATTGCTGATACAATCGTAACCGAGGCCCATAAATCAAAGGACGAAGCGGCAAAGCAAATCTGGTAAGCCTTCCGGGAAATTGATGCTGCGCCCATTTGCAACTTGCTGAACCTTTTCCAGGTGTTTGGACAAGCCAGGATTGCTAGTAAAGTCCTTGAGTGACCAATTGACGCCGGCGCAAAAGCCTTTTGCGCGCAGCGATGATGAATGGCCTGATGGGGAGAGAGATCTGCTATCTGTAGTGAAGAGAGTCAAGCCCCATGTGCTGATTGGGACATCAACAAAGCCAAACGCCTTCACGGAAGAGATAATCCGAGAAATGGCCAAGCATGTCCACAAGCCAATTGTATTTCCATTGAGTAATCCTACTCGGCTGCATGAGGCACAGCCCAAGGATCTTAACGAGTGGACGGATGGTCGAGCGTTGATAGCGACTGGGAGCCCGTTCCCACCAGTTGATCGCAACGGGGCAAAGTATGAGATTGGTAAGTACGGATTGTCAATATGGTAGAAATTTGCAGGACATGACATGACTCATTGAAACCCCTACAGCGGAATGCAATAACTCAACCTGTTTCCCCGGAATTGGGCTTGGAGCCGTCTTGTCTCGGGCACGCGTCCTGTCAGACAAGATGCTCGTCGCTGCGGTCAAAGCGCTAGCAGCTCGATCACCTGCGCTTCAAGATCCCAACAAGCCTCTCCTGCCCGATGTGGAGGAGGTCAGGGAAATCAGTGTCGATATTGCCAAGGCGGTGATCAAGACGGCAGTGGAAGAAGGGCATGCCCAGGAAGAAGGCATTCCCACCGACGACGACGACCTGGAGGAGTGGATTCGGGTACAGATGTGGGACCCTGTCTACCGTCCTCTCTCAAAGCCGAAGTAGGGGTGAAAGTTGCAGCACAAAATCGAAGATTCGGGCCTTGAATCTTACTGCAGAATGTCTAGACCACTTGGGTAAAGAGGCCGAGAGCTCAGCTCGGGCGACGCGAGCGACGGTAGTCAAACTCCAGTTAGATTGCTCTGTTTCCGTAGTGTCATGACATTGGACAAGCATAAAAGACCTGCAACCACTGATGTTCCCAATGATCCATTGTCAAACACTATCAAAGCTGTCAAACACCGGATATGTTTGGACTGAAGAAGCCTTGTGGAAGCCTGACAGGTCGTGCTCCTGGTTCCACAAATTGGCCGATTTATCCGCTCCAATAGCCATTGACCCTATCCATCGCCGGTTTTGGGTGACCAACATGGCTTAAACTATGGAGGCTGATGGCTCATGCAGGTGATTGCTGCGCCTCCTCGTGGGCACGGGATCCTACAGGGCTATGCCCCTCTGAGTCTCTACCCAACGGTCGTACAGCACGTGGAGTTGGGAGAGGCGAACTGTGATTTCATCGATAATTAGATAAATTTCGATTGATCCGATCTCCGGTTCTTAGTCGAGGAAGTTTATGGATGAAGAATTAATGATGCCATGATGGTGGTTTGATCTCTCGGGAAATTGAAGCTGTACGGCTGGAAGGCCCTTGGCATCGCAGATTGTAACCATGTTAGTCAATAGAACGGAGTAGGGAACTAATGGACGTTGGGGCTCAGGCTTTCCTGTGATCGAATCATCAAAGGACAAAGCGAGCATCGCCGGTTTTCTGGGCAAGTTGGAAGATGATGATGAAAGAATACCAAGAAATCCAAGAAATCCTTAATAATTAAGCCCGTCCGCTATCGCAGGTTACATCAGTGGGTTGCCCGTCATATTTATCTTAAACATTATCAAATTCTACCTCCATCAATACTGTGTTACGGCACCCTTTCCCTCCATATTGAGACTACGGCAAGTCTATTCGAGCATCTAGAACTCTTCTTTGCCAAGAAAAACAAAATTACAAGATGAAAATCGCCTACACAACGGCTCTCCTTTTTCTCTTGTCGTCCCCCAGCGTCACCTCCTACAGTATTCCGCAGTCGGATCTGGTCGCTCGTGATATAGCCCCAGTCGATTCATATCGAGGCCCAGATCTCGAGAAACGTCGAGGAGGAGGCGGCGGTGGACGAGCTGGCGGAAGCGGAGGATCCAGTGGGGGACGCAGTGGAAGCGGCGGAAGCAGTAGTTCATCGAGGTGAGCGGTTGCCAAGCTGCCTGTTATGTTCATAAACATCGAGGCTAACATTTGTTCTGCACGAAAGTGTCGGGGGACGTCCAGGAGGCTCTAGTAGCAGTCGCATTGGCGGATCCTACTACGCTGGCGGTGCCGCATCTTCATACAGGGCCGGCACGCGATCACCTCTGGGAATCTCTCCTTTCCTTTTGCCTGTCGCTGCACTGGCCATCTTTCCTGGTATCTGGCTCTACGGAGCCTATGCATATCCCTACAGTCATCATTACAACTATACAAATGAGACTTCCCGCCAAAACGAGTCATTGCCGGTAGTCTGCTTGTGTCAAGAATACTCGGATTGCGGCTGTGATGATAACAATAACAGCACCTACTATCAATCGCTGTTCAATGGCACTCAACCTGTGAATTCAAGTATCGCCAAGGTTGTCAATGCCAACGGAACCGAGACCATCTACATCAACGGAACTGAGCCGAATGCAACGACGCCTACGAGCTCGTCCACCTCCTCAGCTCCCGCGACAGCTCTCCTTGAGGCCAGCGGGTACTGGGTTATGGTCGCTCTGGTGGCTAGCATGGTCTGGGCGCTATGATGGATGTTCGTTCATGACCTTTTGGCCGATGGGCCACTTGCTCACTATGCTCCACATAATATTTCGTGTCGTTTTGCTCTTTCTGAATTTGCCCCTTTGCTTCCTGCTATATTTCCTTCCAGCTAGATCGGTTTCATGAGCGCTCTGTCTTAGCCTTTGCTGGACTTTGCTGTGGGAATATTGCCGAGTCGCTTTGATTGGTGGTCTTTTGCTTTGATTGGCACGAGAACCTTGATACCCTCATACGGCGTTGGAAAGTAAAATTCTTGATGCTTGTTTACTCACTTCGCTGGACATGATTACGATACCACATTCTATTGATTATTCACGAGAATCTTATTGTACGATAGATCGCAATGAGTTGCTCGCTTCTAATACGCGTTATATGATTATCAATCGCAGGACTCACGCTCGCAGTTTGGAGCTCCAAGGTAGGTAGTTTCCATAGATGATTGAGGTCTTTTCAGGTCTTTCATGCTCTGATCAATCTTTTAGAACTATCAATCGTTTTGCGCATTCGCCAAATATGGACCCTTCGCAATTTATCTATCACTTGGTTTCCTCCGAACTTCTTCTCCTCTTGTAGATTCTCCACTTCCATTGAAACCGACTAGGTATTCAACCCCAAGGACCGATCTATTTCTGTAGTCTGACTTCACTTGACCTCTTCAGGCTGTGAGCGGGCACTGCGGCACTGGCTCGCTTCTCCGAGACTAACTCTTACGATACTCTTTCTTCTCCACGCTGCTGCGCGACAAAACTGGTAAGACGACAAGCCTTGGACTACTCTTCCAAGCAGGATTCGTCATTGCTCGTTACCTAAATCATGTCAATTTCGACCCCCTAATGTTGTTAATGGCCTCTTGAGATCTCCCGGACAGCTGCAATTCGCGCTCTTCAGGCTTCATCGTCTCTTTTGGGTCGGCACAAGATCCACATTGCGCTATCGCATTAGCCTCCCCTCGGGATAACATGATCGACACGTTTTCCACGGAATCCTGGACTATCCCACGGCTAGCCCTGCAAATGGCTACGAACTGCAGGATAGAGTTCGGCTCAGAACTTCACGGATAGAGGCGTACCTTGCATCTCCTCTCAATGTCTACAAACTGCTGGCACAGAAAATCATCAGCGATTAAGGAATAATCGCTGAATACTTTGTCACCCGCACCGCAACGCAGTAGCTTCGAAGGGATCGACAGTTCGAAAATTATCGTGACGAACCCGAACATCCTCAACCATGGACGGCTTGACAACATCGCGCTAGACTCAAGCGACTTCGAGCCAAGCATACGCCTACGGCAACCGGATTCATGGCTGATTCGCTGCTTGTTCGGGCCATATATCGATTCTGGTATCGTTTGGTCGGTTCAAGAACTAAAGGTCTCCAGGATAGTCTAATGTCTATTCCGTACTCCGTACAGTCTAGCTAACAATTTAGTGCTAGGTACTGGTCAACCCCCCTTTTCTTTGCGCTTTATTATCATCGTCGTCTTCTCTTCTTCACTTGAGTTACCACTCACTGCTACAGACTTTGACTGCCTCAAGGCGTTGTCGTTCGTTCTTTACATTCTATACACACCAGAGCTGTCACTCGTTTCCAGCTCCATTCATTCTTTACTTCTTATAAACGAAAATATTGCAAAATTATCTCCTAAGCTTTCTCGCTTATCCAAAATCGATATACCAGCGCCCGACATCGACCGGCTTACTCCAAAAGCTATTTCTTCTTCCAGTATCGGTTTTGAATTGCAGCCTGCGCATCTCAAACTTCAGTCTTACACATCAATCATAAGATCAAGATGCATTTCGCCAAAGCTCTGCTGTTTACCGCTGCGGCTGTCGCGCCCTTCGCATCCGCTGCAGCGCAAGCTGAACCAACCACCACCATCACCGTCAAGGTGGTGAGCGTTGGCGCTTCTTCCACTCCTACACCATCCCCCACCAGCAGCGTCGTCAGCGTGACTCCAAGCAGCAGCAGCCCCTCCATTCGACCCACCGGTGGCATCTATCTCCCCAGCTCCGGCCGCTGGAACTCAACCAGCTCTTCGATCGTCAAGGTGACAGTTCCTGCCACCGTCAGTGGCCCCTCCCAGACAAACGCTGCTGCCTCCGCGATCTCGTCGGCACCATCCCAGGGCGGCGCCGCTTCCTCGATCAACTTCTCCGGCCCTCTGACTGCTGTTGCCATGGCTCTCGCTGGATTTGCCATGTTTTAAGGGGTAAATCGGAGTCTACCAGACCTCCAGCGCTTGAAGAGCCACAGTTGAAGCGATCTCCTTCATCTTCGGGATTGGGGGAGGCCGTCCATGATCGAGCATCAATGTTCGGATAATGAGGAAGTCGGACATATATTTTCCTATCTTACTTCGCCGGACGATCCTCGTCGCCCACCTTGTCATATATACATTTTCACCTGTCTTCTAATCTGTTTCTATTAAGCTCGACTCCGCCACGCACGCATTGTTTAAGACTTTATGATCTGGGCGGGCTGATCTGTCATTCATCACTTCACCTTCACGTCCTCAATCTTATGTCTGTCTATACCCTTAATTTGTCTCTCAAGAAGCTCTGGCCTCTTGTCTCTTGAATTCAATGCTCTTCACTACTATTCCACTAGATTTCTTCATTATGATAGAGTACTGATGGTTCTACCACGTCACTTGTTCCTATTGTCTTTGTAGTACTTAAGTACCCCATACGGTGCTTAATATGACATAACCGGCTAACGTGCAGAACCTTGAGTCAGGATACATGAGCATACACTCAATGCTATGCTATAAAACAAGCCAAGTATGGGGATCAATCCCGTGCTTACGCTCGCTGTAGTATACAGAGAGCACAATGAAGATCGGCCATAGGAAGGAGAGGAATGCAAATTATTATGTTACAACGTGCAAGAATATACATCAGCGCTGCAGATGTTCGCAGCATCTTATGAGTCCCTGTAGGTAGCTTCGTATCTGTTCAAGCCGGATGAAGTTAGCCAGTTCTTCAGAGAATTGGAACAGCGATCACATACCTCTTTCCTCTGAATGCCCACAGACCCCAATTTCCGCAAGAAACATCGTGAGGGTCCAGGTCGTTTAGATCCCAACGCAGACTACGGAAGATATTTTCGCCGGGCTCAAGTAGTATGTCGAATTCACCAGCACATTTCTCGCGAACCCAGCTGATATCCCTCTCCATATCCCACTGTGTGTACCCAGTGGTAATGATGGGGACCTTGGTCTCCAAAAGTTGTGGCAGAGTTTCTTCCCACTCATGAGAGCTCGCAGGGTGCCCAAGGCCCGGATGGAAAAGTACAAAGCAGTCCAGATACGGGTCAAACGGCTGAAAGTATTGCGCTTTATACATGGTGTGGAAGTAGTCAACGTAGGTTGTGATCTTCAACTGGCCACCGAGTCGATCCTCCACAATGCCCCCAAACGGATTCTCGGGGGTCCGCTCAGGAAGTGGGAACTCGGCGTCACGGTTGGCCATACTTTCAGGTCCAATGAAAATCAAGTGTATCAAGGACCGCGGGAAAATGTAGCTCAACTGCAGCCAGACGTCGCGGGGAAGGGATGATTCCGCACGCGCACCTAGGATGAATACTCGAACTGGGGGTGCTTTCAGGCGCAGACCTTGGATATCGACACCCTCTCCTGTCTTTGGAGGGTGCAAGGTATATCGAAGAGCTGGAAAGAAGAACGGTCAACTATTTGTACAATTTGCAGGCAGCTAGCTGAGCACGGAAGAGGTGCAGCTTACCGCTAACGCTCTTGAGTCCTTCGGTAGTCAGTCGGCCTCCCTTTCGAACGCTGTAAGGACTCAGCTCATGCAGAACACTTCCGATCGTCAGCGGGTATGTAAGCATTCTGGTCACTTGTCGCATGCTTCGGTCATGATTGATCGCATCAAATTCCCGTGTATAAAGGAAAGTGTCCCAATTGGTCATGTTAATAACGAAGTTGTCGTCCTGCAACCCTGGGTAGGTGAACTCGGGGAAAAAACGCCCGGAATGAAGATCGTGGTCATCCTCGTTGATTTGTCTGATAGTGTCACAGATCTCCAGGTGCGCCTCGAAATCATCCATCCAGTGTTCCTCGGAACAGTAGATGGGAACGCCACAATCGGGGCACTCAAAGTGAGAGTGGGCTGGAGGCAGTGCGCTTTCGGGGCTCTTCCGAGACTCAGGATCATGAGGCGAGAGAGCTGCACGAGTCTGCTGATGACTGGGATGCGGACAAAAAGCATTCTGTTTGATGAACGCCGCACGCTGTCTAATCGCGGGTGCAGGGGACTTCGAGAAAGGGTGAAAGAGGTTGTTTGGTTTCAGCAAAGTTCTTGCCTCCTGCGCTTGGCTCGACGAGGTGGACGAGGCTCGGTGCGCTAGCGGCTTTGCAGTTGGAGAGGCAGCAGACAAAGGTGACAAKGATGGGCATGACGTCCGTTTCAATTGCCCCTGGGAGGATTGAGGTGGAAAGCGATTGTTGCCCTTCGAACCAAATCTTCGGGAGAAAGAAGAGGGCGAGTCGAGTGGTCCCGGCGACTTAACCACAGTTTGCAATCGAAACGTAGAACCTTGAATAGAAACTCTTCGCTGGAGGACCTGCAGACAGCGTCCGCAAGTATATTCGCCAGGCATGTCGACTGTCGCGGCGCTGAATGGACGGCGGTTGAGTACACATGTTTGGAAGCTGTAATTTCTGGCCGCCGAGAATGCCGTCGTACCACGTGATCCAGATAGATCGTTAAAGTCATAGGTATGTTCAGTTCGGTGCTATTGCTAACACATTCCCTCAGCAAATATGTTGAAGCTGTGTATGTTAGAAATCCATTATCCAGATGTTAATGCACCAGTAAGACAAAGAGCTAATAAGTGCAATGGTAACTTCAGGACTATTGACTTCTGGATTGAGTATAATGAACAACGTATCACAATCTACAAGAGTATGGGTGATCTCCAAGACATCCACTTCCCCAAGCCACGAGTGAGCGTCAGAAGATATCTTCGCTGGCACTCCAGTCATGTCTTTCTCTACATTCCCAATACTTTCCATTGTGCGCCCAATATTCCTCTCCAGTGATCGGGCATTTAGCCCTGGTGAACCACTGAGGGCGGTACTCCTCGCCTCTAGCCTCCCTCTCCCGACGTTTCGCCCGCTGCTTTTCTTCAACGCGATGTTTTTCATTGGCAGCCAAGTCGTACTCGCCGTCCTCCATTGCACGCTGATCAGGGCGGAGTCGCGTGTCAGTAGGCGGGAGATGTTCTTTCAACCCTTCCGGAAGAGCATTCAGTGTGATGACAAAGGGTGTCAGGTTGAAAGGAATTCCACTTGGCCGAGGATGGCTCTGCCAAACCAGAAAGGTCTTAGCCGATTCCGGATCCTGACCGGACACCTGCGCTTCGAACCCAGGGGTATGGCGTGCGTAGATTTTATCATTCCAGCGCCCACCAATACTCCATCTCGGTGATCCGTCGCGATCAACGACTTTGCCAGTCACCTGGTACGCCGAAGACGCCTTCCAGCCTCTCGGTTTGAAATCCAGGTAGCAAACCTCGCCGGTAGTCCAGTTTTTGATTTCCATCAGACCGTAATTGTCGACAGTGGGATTGCCTGTGATAATGCCAATGACAGACGAGGTAACTTTCTTCCATGTGTAAAGCTCCTCTCCGCCTGACACGGGACGCAGTTTCAGAAACCAGGTTCCAAGGAGGTTGATATCGAATGATTTGCCGTAGAACTTCGACTTAAGAGCTGACTCTCCCTGTGGAAAGAAGTTTAGAAAGAAGGAAACGATAGCACAAGAGGGAGAGCTATTCAAATCTTACCCAATAATCCCATTTCGGTGACTCGGCCCACGCTGCGCCAATCGGTGGGTGGTGGCTAACCTGCTCAATGAAGAACCGATATCCCTTGTCGGGCCGCGCATATTCGAAGGTCTCTCCGAGAAGAGGATTGAAAGGCTTTGCCACACGGCCGATTGTTGAAGCATACTCGCTCGCTGCGTAAGCAGCTACATACACCAAACGCTCCATTGAGTCGGATCGGTCAGCCGCGATATCCAGAAGGTCAGCATATTCTAAGTCCTCCGCCACTCGTTGAAGCAAAGATGTCGGCTCATTGAAAGATACTGGTAGAGTCATCTTTGTCATATCCTTGCCGATCATGGATTTCAGAATTCCCTAAAGCATAACCTTAGATTGTTTCAGTCCTAACTTGAGCAGGTACCCGCGATAACTTACCCACAAGGAAATTTTCGGTCTATCATCGTTGTCCAGCTTGAGTCTCGTGCGTACAGGCTCTTCGTAGCCCTTGAAAGAGGGGACTATCACGTTCCGTTTCACAGCTCGGAGTTCAGTGCTTTCTAATTCTGGCTTTTCCTTTTCTTCCTCGATCACTTTCGAGGTCGTCATGTCTTCCACCTCTATCTCGCCAGCGTCGATAGCATCAAAAAATTCATCATCATCGTCCGATGCAGAATCGTACAGACTGCTGATGCGAGAGAGGGCCGACATCTTGCGACGCAGAGACTTCCCAGACTCCTCCTCCTCGAATTCCGTCACGTATTCCACGGGCTGTGCAACTTGTTCCTCTGCTTCATCTTCGCCAACACGGCTGTCTTCCCCAGAGACTTGTATGCGGGACGGAACCTTGCTACCACGACGGCTGGTGCGCGCGGACACGCTTTCCAGAGCTTCTTTGAGAGCTCGCTTCGTACGTCTGCGTTTCTCTTCGGATTCCCCCATCTTCGATTGCAGTTCTTCGTGCTCCTGTGCAATGCGCGCCATGCTTTCTTCCCACATTTTGCGAAGATAAGCCTCTCGGTTGAGTCGATATTGCCAATAAGAATCGCGATCCCGCGATATCTTGAGAAGGTTTTGGACCAGACCTTGCAGGCTGCTTACAGCCGCCTCATAAGCTACAAGGGCTTGGCTAACGGAGGAGTCCGAGATTGGCACGTTCGGGTCCTTCGATTTCTCGGCTTGCAACGCAGAGGCGACGTTGGCCAGAATCTCGAGTTGAAGTTTTGCAGATTGCGCCGTGATGTTCAGCGCATCTTTATCGGAAGAACTGATATCGCGACTAGACGCGTACTCGCCATAGTCGTCCTCGTCGCCTTCGCCATCCGGCTGGCTAGTTACATGACTGACCACCTGATTGACCTCGTTCTGCAAAACACTCTGGTCGTAAGAACCGTGTATTGAGGCTTCCTCATCTGCAGGTACGCT